TGGCCTTAATCTTGTTCGGGTTCGCCTCAATCCCACGCTGCGACACAAAGAACCCGAGAAGCTTGCCGGACGGGACACCAAAGACACACTTCTCAGGGTTCAACTTGAGGTTGATCTTGTGCAGGTTTGCAAACGTTTCTTCCAGATCTTGCACAAGTGTTGCCTTGTCCTTAGTTTTGACAACTATGTCATCCATATAAGCTTCCATATTTCTATGTAGCTGAGGTTCAAAACCAATTTGGACTGCTCTTGCAAAGGTCGAGCCAGCACTCTTCAACCCGAAAGGCATCCGTAAAAAGCAGTACGTACCACGTGGGGTGATGAATGTTGTCTTCTCTTCATCTTCTCTCGTCATGAAAATCTGATGGTATCCTGACTAGGCGTCGAGGAATGATAACAGGTCACACACGGTCGTAGAGTCAACAATCTGGTCGATGTGCGGCAACGGGAAAGGGTCTTTTGGACAAGCCTTGTTGATATCTGTGTAATCAATACACAGCCTCCACTTCCCGTTTGCCTTGCGCACTACCACCGGATTGGCCAACCACGTCGGATGGAGTACCCCTCTCACCAAGCCTGCTGCTTCTAGCTTTCTGATTTCTTCCGTGATGAACTCCTGCCTCTCCAGAGCTTGCTTCCTAACCTTCTGCTTGACGGGCCGCGCACGAGGACAGACATCAAGATGGTGCTCAATCACCTCCCTGGGAACGCCGGGAATGTCGGATGCCTGCCATGCAAACACATCGACATTAGCCCGCAGGAAAGTGACGAGCTCGCCTTCCTATTTGCTATCGAGGGTGGAGCTTATGGTGAAAGCCCCTCCCGTGCCGTCCTCCTTGACGGACACCTTGGTCTCTGGTGGTGCAGCTCTGGATTTCTTGCTCTTGCCGGTGGAGCTCTCTGGCATGTCCTCGACGGGAGCACAACACTCCGGAGAGGTGCGCTTGCCGGAGTGGGTGTGAGAGGTCTCGTCGCCGGTCTTCTTCCCTCCCAGGGCTTCAGCGGCAGGAGCAAGTGCCTTGGTGGCAGCTGCTGCAACTGCTTCCCGGTAGAGTTGGTCAGCAGATCAACGCATCCTTCTTGTCGGAGGGGACGGTGATGATGTTCATCGGCCCGGGCATCTTCAACGTGTTGTAGGCGTAATGCGACGCCGCCATGAACTTGGCCAGTGTCGGGTGGCCGAGGATCCCGTTGTAGGGCAAGGGGATCTCGGCCACATTGAAGACAATCCTCTCTGTCCTGTAGTTCAACTCGCCTTCAAACGTTACGGGCAGCGTGACCTTGCCCTTCGGCTCACTCCTTCCCGGGTTGACTCCTTGAAACGTGCCCGTCTCTTCAAGGTCTCCATCAGGAATCTGCAGCCTTTTGACCACAACAGGCGAGATCAAGTTCAGACCGGCCCCGCCATCAACCAACATCTTTGTCACCTTGAGGTTGCGGATCGTTGGTGAGACCAACAACGGCAAGCACCCGACCGCAGTAGTGCGATCAGGGTGGTCCTCGGTGTCAAAGATGATGGGCGTGCTGGACCACTTCATTGGCTTCCGCACGTCGAGCGATGGCTCCACCGTTGTGATCTCACGCGCCCACTGCTTGAGCTGGCGGTGAGAGGTGTGCAGCGAGGCGCCACCGTCGACGCACATGGCCTATGTAGCCTTCTGGAACTCGTGGTCGCCGGACTCGTCGTCCTCGTCATGATCATCGTCTTCTTGCTTCTTGTCGCGGCCCCGGGCGGGCCTCTCTTGCTGGTTATCCTTGCCGCGGCGGCCTCCTTGGCCGCCACGCTTCTTGCCGGATCCTTCAGCACCGTCCTGGCCTTTCTCCTTGTCCCGCCTCTCATACTCAGCCTTTTGCTTCTCGGGAAGCAGCTCAACTTGTCAGCAGTTTTGGAGGTTGTGGCCCTTGGTGCGGTGGATCTTGCAATACTGCTTGTCGGAGCTTCCTGGCTTGTCGGCAGCCGCCAAGGCCCGGCAAGTGGCACACCCGGCAACTTCCTTGCCGGGGTCGCTCGCCTTGACCTTCTTGGCAGCGCCGGTGTCGTCGGATCCCTCGACGGCAAGCACAACCTTGCCCTTGCGCTTTCTGTTGCGGCGCCGACCCTTCTTCGTCGGGGCGGCGGTGTCGTCATCTGTGGAGTCGGTTTCCGCACCGACATCTTCGCCGGGGTACTTCCTTCCCTCTTCAGCCAGAGCGCACCTATCGGCCAGAACATAAAGTTCGGCCACATCTTTGACCTTGTTCATCGCCAGCTCTTCACGCATCTTGCGGTTACGCACATTCTGATGGAATGCGCTGATCACAGCGGCGAGATGAATGTCTGGGATGTTGTACTGCACCCGGCTGAACCTCTGGATGTACTTGCGCAGGTTTTCACCTTCCTTCTGGGGGATGATATGTAGATCGCTTGCCTGGCCATGAGCTTGATGGCCTCCCGTGAAGGCGCCAACAAACTCAAGACACAAATCCGACCACGAAGAAATGGAATCCACCGGCAAGTGCATCAACCATGACATGACATTGGGCTTAAGCGCCAACGGGAAGTAATTGGCAAGCACCTTGTCGTCGCGGGCTCCAGCAGCTTGCATCGCGATGGTGTAGATGCTGAGGAACTCCGACGGGTGAGTCTTGCCGTTGTACTTCTCGCCAACGTCGGGCTTGAATGTGCGGTGGGAGGGCCACTGGAACTGCCGCAGCTCACGGGTAAAGGCTGGGCAACCCACCTCGTAAGGTAGGCCACCGTAGCCTCCCGGTGCTGGGTGGTCCATAGTGGGCCCTGCCCGCCTATCTGACTGGTGGCGCGCATCACGCCGGCGCTCGATGGTGGTTCGAGCGTCTTCAAGGGCTCGCTCCCGAAGAACTTGACGCTGATCGCGGTGGGTCCATGGATCGGACGATGCTATGGAAATATTATCACAAACGTCGTCACGACGGATCGACACCCGCGGTAGCTGGCGTGGGGGAGGAGAGTGCACCGTGGCTGCATCACCCCCGACCCTTCCACCGCTGGCATGCGGTGGCTCGACGGAGCGGTGGCCTACGGGCCCCGCTGGTCGCGGCTCATCTTTGTTGGCGATGCCAACGAGGCTCCGGACGGTGGCTCTCCACTCGTCGAGCCTCTCCGCAACAGGAGAAAAGTCGAGGAGCAGTTGCGCGCGCGCCAGAGCTTCTGCTGGTGTGGGCGGCGGCGAAAGTTGCGTGGATCGTGATGCGCTCCGACTTCTATGTTAGAAGGAGCTCTATCACGGCCTTGCGGCTGTCTGCCATTTTTGCCAGCACCTCGGCGTGCATGCTGGCCTCCCTCGTCCCGCGAAGGACGCGCGGGACTCTTCCCACGGCGGCGCCCAGGGTCACCAGCGTGGTGACGCTGCTCATCGCGCACAACTTGGAAAGAGTGCGCCGCGGGTGCCGGCGTAGGTGTCTTGAAGGCCGTCGCGCCGCCTGCGGGGGCCCCAGCTCCGTCTTTGGAATTTGCAACGTGCGGCCCGTCGTCCTGCGCACGAACGACGCCGCTCGCCAGGCCTGGGCTGCCAGGGCGATGTGGGTGTTCGCGGGTTGCGCCCCGGGTTCTGTTCGTGACCGGCCCGCTACTCGCCCGCACCGGTACGGGTAGTCCGGCCCCAGATGAACCGATCGCCGTGGTCGTCTTCCTCTTGGGAGCCATGGCGATAAAGAGCTGCTAAACTGGCTGCTAGACCAGATTTTCACAGCTGCGCCCCCTACCTGGCGTGCCAAAGATGTCGGTGGAAACGATACCTATGGGATCAACGGGATCCCTACTGTGGTCGGCGGGCGCGGGGTTGTGAGAAGAGCAAGTCTAAGAGCCAGCACAAAGGTCGTTTACCCAGGTTCGGGCCGCGGAGATCGCGTAATACCCTAGTCCTGCTTTAGTGTGTATATGAATGTTCTTGAGCTAGCTATCGAGCGTGGCTTGCTCAAAAAGCCGAATCCCCTCCGGTACGCCTCGGGCCTCCTTTTATAGTCGAAGGAGGCGCCACAGTGGCACACAGGAGGTGGAAAGGATACAGTGTACAAGCTTATCGCTTGTCATTACGGGACAAGACGCATTAAATGCACCCCTGAGGTGTCCCCTTGCTTTATTGCCACCTCGCCTTGCTTCGACACGCGTCCAGGCTAGCGAGGCGAGCGGCGCCATGTAGGCTGACAGGCTACTGAGGTGGCGTGGTGGCTGCGTCTTCACGAAGATCTGCATGCCACCACGCAGGTGCTTCCTGAGTTGGCCTTGGGACCGCGCGTCGCCATGCAGGTGCTCGCCTGGCTGGCTGGGCTAGCAGCTGTATGGGAACGGCGGTGGGGTCTCGGTGCGTGCGGGCCTGGCCGCGGCTCTGCTGTTGTCTTCGGCAAGGGTCTTGCCGTGGCACCGCGGTCGTCCCCGGCAAGGATGTTGCCGGAGGTCTCGTCTTCCGGTCCTCATCTGATATCGCGTGGGTTAATGATCTTCACAAAGATCTGTATGCCACCATGGAGGTGCCTCCCGAGCCTTGGTTCCAATGTGGTTGATGGTGTTGGAAACCTCGGGCTCAAGGGTGGCGTGCTCCGTTGGTGTTGGGCAGGTTGCCCCGGCAAGGCTCTTGCCAGGGCTGCGGAGGCCGCCCCGGCAAGGGTCTTGCCAGGGGAGCCCACCTCGCCCTCTCGCTCTTCGCGTTTCTGTCTTGGCGTTGCTTGATCGTCTTGTGGCTTTGGCCTCCCTCCTCTGCCCTGCTAAGTGTGGCCGCAGGTGCGGCTCTGACGGCCCGTGCACAGGTAAAGGGATGCGAAGTAGAGCCCCTACTTCTGTACACCGACAATATGTTTATTTTCTGAGGAATTGGTTAAAGCAGTGAAATGTTATGAAAGCATATTAAGCTTCATGCACACTTCTAAGTGTTCACTGTTTTATCCGCATAATATTTTTTCTTAGTATTTGAAAAAGAAATGTTTATTTATTTAGGACATTGAATCATTTGTATGCAACTAACTCTTACCTGCAAATTTCTTGACAGGAAGTTGCTCATAGGCAGCAATATTTCTTCTGGAAAAACTACAGGAACAATAGACTGAAGCACATCCTGCCGCGTCCTCCTCCCGAACTAACTCCTGCACCTGCCCCAGCACCAGCACCAGTGCCGACACCTCCTCCTGTTCCTGCACCACCATCGTCTTTGCCAACTATGTCAGCTGTTGGTGCTTCTGCAATGCCCCCCATGCAGTTTATAGGAACTCCTGGCACCAACAACCCAAAGAATGAGATGAGAAATGTTATGGGTGGTAGAAAGAGAAAGTATGTACCTCCCTATCTTGCAATCAATCAATAGCATCTCTTATGCAGTTAATATTAGTTCTCCATACAGTGTCATTATGAAGTTATTAGTTGTAAATACAGTTTTTTTTTCTTAAAGTTCCTGTGTGCCATAGTTAACAGGTGTTATATTCGAGGGTGATCCAACTTGAATGGGGTTATGGACATTCTGCCAATCTAGATTATGAAGTACCTCTTCACTGATTCAGTAAAGATTATTGATGCTCTCAAGATGCTTCTTAGGAGAACTGAATTAGTCATGCAATGAAGTTGTGGAGGAATCTGTTCTATTTGTTCCTTTTTTCTTGGTCCATCTCATGAATCATCCGAGATTTTATGAAAAATGCAAGTTTCACAGTAGTGTTGTTATGCCTGTGTGCTTGTTAGTCAGTTTTAAATGTGTGCATGGTAGTTTGAGTTTTGACAGGTTATTTCTTTTTCCTCTTGTGATGTATAGTTTGAGCATGCGAGTATGTTGCATTATGTTCAATAAAATGGTTTACAATGACTGATTGTACTGTGTATCTTGGCTGCAGGATGGGCTAGTGAAACATATTGATCAACTTAACGGCTGATGGCATCCCAGAGAAGTGGAAACTCACCTCCCTGTTGCCTGTTGGTAGACCTTTGAAGTAGCAGACAAGTTCGAAGCAGCTCCTGCTTTGGAGCAGCTGGAGTTCTCAACGTGGCATGCGCACTTGGCCCTTGGTTGACTTTATCATTTATCTTATGCTGGCATTTGTTGTAGTTGAATGGAATCTTTACTTGCTGAAACTTTGTGCCAACAGTGGCAGCCGTAAAAGCGAACACTTATCACATATTCTTAGATGGAGCCGCAACATTTGCATAAGGAGCTCCATGAAACGCTCCATTGCTCGTTCATATTATTTTGCTGCACAGTTTGTGCCTGGTGATGGGAGGGCTTGCATTGCATTTCTCATGCCTGTACGGTTCCCGGTCAGCGGCAGCGCCAGTATTAGGCGGCCTCCCTTGCTGCATTTTTGTTTCAATCTATATTTTCATGGCCCCAATGATCCGGAGTCTGACAATGACGAATTCACTTTACTACCATATATATGTTCACGCCTGAAACTTTTAAGGATTTTCTGAAACTTTGAAATTGGACTTTTGTCTTTTCTAAAATGGAAACATTATTCACACAGTCTCCAGTCTCTGCCACCTCGTGCAAACAAGAAATGAAATACTCCCTCCGTCCCATAATATAGCTTGCAAAAACGTATTATATTATGCGACGGAGGGAGTGGTAGATAATTAAAGCATGACGAAGAATGGGTAATTAAAGCATGATGATAAGTAGGAAAATAACAAAGATACTTCGATATGGGGGATGCTATCCAGCCCACGGGCGTTACGACGCTACACGTCGGCCGGCGGATAAAAAGAAAATATCCGCCGTCTCGCTAACCATTCGATCGACACATTAATGGCCGTTCGACATATCCGCGTAAGCATCCGCTTCTTTGCAATAAGATTGGTGTTACAGAAGACCCTCTGCAACAGCAAGCTTGTTGCAATCACCCGAGCCTATACGTTTTTATTTTTTGCAACATAGGTCTTGTTGCAGGAATTTTCGCAACAAAGATCTTGTTGTAGAAACTTCCGTAACAAAGGTCTTGTTGTAGAAACCTTTGCTATGTATTTTTTTTTGTAACAGAGGTCTTGTTGCACTTTTTCTTGCAACGAAGCTCTTGTTGCGGAAAATGTAAAGATCGATAGAATCCTTTTGCAACATGACTCGTGTTCCAAAAAGTTTCTGCAACTAGGGTAACGTTGCAAAAAAATTTGGCAAACAAAGACCGTGACATGATGGAGAAGGTTTTGGCAGCAGGAGGAGCTTAAGGTGGTGACGCCATGGCCGAGCTGGCCGTTCGCGTCAGATGGCAGCCACCTGTGTTCCAGGCTCCTCGCCAGTCATAGTTGTGGTGCGCATGGTGGTGCCGCTCGCAGCTTCAATGTTGTCCACCCTTACTAGCAAACAACGTTCGTGGTTTGTAGAAGATGACTGATGCAAGCGGTTGCAGAATAAAGGGAAGAAATGAGTGGAGGGAAGAGATTGGAGAAGAGATAAGGTTAGGAATGTTGGGGAACGTTGCATGGGAAACAAAAAATTTCCTACGCTCACCAAGATCAATCTAGGAGATGAACATCTATGAGAGGAGAGATTGCATCTACATACCCTTGTAGATCGCTAATCGGAAGTATTAAGAAACGCAGTTGATGTAGTCGAACGTCTTCGCAACCCAATGACGATCCGTCCCGCGAACTCCGCCAAGTGCCCAACGGACGGCACCTCCGCGTAAACACACGTACGGCTTGATGACGCCTTCACCTCCTCGATCCAGGGAGCGATGGTGAAGTAGTAGCTCGAGTCCTCCGGCAGCACGATGGCGTGGTGGCGGTGGTGGTGGAAGAATCTCAATAGAGCTTTGCTAAGCGCTACGGAGAGGAAGAAGGACGCGAGGGAGAGGAGAGGCAGCGTCATGGCGTGGAGATGTGCTCTTGGGGTGCGGCTGCCCTCTCTCTACCTCTCTATATATAGGGGAAGGGAGGAGGGGGTGGCGATGGGATCTCCCCTAGGGTGACTTGCCCCCCAAGCCGGGAGGTGGGAAGCCCTAGGGGGGCGCCCCCAACCCTCCTGGTTACGTGAGATGGGGTGAGGGGGTGCTCAGCCCCTTACTAGGTTGGTTTTCCCCCTCCCCTTGGCCCATGGGCCCCTCCAACACTTGTCGGGGCCCCCCGAAACCCCTTTTGATGACGCTGGTCATCACCCGGTACCTCCGGAACAATTCCGGACTCCAATACCCTTCGTCCAATATATCGATCTTCACCTCCGGACCATTCCAGAGTTCCTCGTCATGTCCGGGATCCCATCCGGGACTCCAAAAAACCTTCGGTAACCACCATAATGACTCAACTATACTTAACCTGTCACCAAACATTAAGTGTGTAGACCCTGCGGGTTCGAGAACTATGCAGACATGACTGAGACACCTCTACGGTCAATAACCAATAGCGGGACCTGGATGTCCATATTGGTTCCTACATATTCTACGAAGATCTTATCGGTCGAACCTCGATGTCAAGGATTCAGCTAATCTTGTATGCAGTTCCCTTTGTCTATCGGTATGTTACTTGCCCGAGATTCGATCGTAGGTACCTCCATACCTAGTTTAATCTCGTTACCAGCTAGTCTCTTTACTCGTTCCGTAATACAAGATCCCGTGACTAACTCATTGGTCATATTGCTTGCAAGCTTATTGTGATGTTGTATTACTGAGTGGGCCTTGGGATACTTCTCCGTCATACGGAGTGACAAATCCCAGTCTTGATCCATGCCAACTCAACAGACACCCTCAGAGATACTTATAGAGCACCTTTATAGTCACCCAGTTACGTTGCCATGTTTGGTACACACAAGGCACTCCTCCGGTGTCAGTGAGTTGCATGATCTCATGGTCATAGGAACATATACTTGACATGCAGAAAAACGATAGCAATAAACTTGATACGATCATATGATACATTCATAGTTTGGGTCTTGTCCATCACATCATTCTCCTAATGATGTGATCTCGTTATCAAATAACAACTCATGTCCATGGCTAGGAAACCATAGCCATCTTTGATCAACGAGCTAGTCCGGTAGAGGCTTACCAGAGACATGTTGTTGTCTATGTATCCACACGTGTATTTGAGTTTCCGGTCAATACAATTAAAACATGGATAATAAACAATTATCATGAACAAGGAAATATAATAATAACCACTTTATTATTGCCTCTAGGGCATATTTTCAACAGTCTCCCACTTGCACTAGAGTCAATAATCTAGCATTACATGGTAATGAATCTAACACCCATAGAGTTCTGGTGTTGATTGTACTTTGCCCGTGGAAGAGGTTTAGTCAACGTATCTGCAACATTCAGGTCCATATGCACTTTGCAAATGTTTATGTCTTCCTCCTTGATGTAATCGCGGATGGAATTGAAGTGTCGCTGTATGTGTCTGGTCCTCTTGTGAAACCTTGGTTCCTTGTCTAGAGCAATGGCACCAGTGTTGTCACAGAATAGAGTCATCAAGTCCAGTGCACCGGGCACAACTCCAAGATCTGTCATGAACTGCTTCATCCAGACACCTTCCTTTGTTGCCTCCGAGGCAGCTATGTACTCCGCTTCGCATGTAGAATCAACTACCACGCTTTGTTTGGAACTGCACCAGCTTACTGCTCCCCCATTTAGAATATATATGTATCCTGTTTGAGACTTAGAGTCATCCGGATCAATGTCAAAGCTTGCATCGACGTAACCCTCTACGACGAGCTCTTGATCACCTCCATAAACGAGAAACATTTCCTTAGTCCTTTTCAAGTACTTAAGGATATTCTTCACCACTGTCCAGTGATCCACTCCTGGATTACTTTGAAACCTTCCGGCTATACTTATGGCAAGGCTAACATCCGGTCTTGTGCACAACATTGCATACATGATAGAGCCTGATGAGGCACGGACTACCAAGATGCTAATTCGTGCATGTAGATGGCCCGATCTTTCACGGCGATACTCGATCAACACCTTGTCTCCATGTTCCTCCTCGTAACCTCCAAGAACAATTTTCACATGTGTACAAAAATACACAAATGAAAATAATGACCCCCTCGGATCAGCACGTAGGCGTCGATGTGATGATCAACCCTCCGTTGCTAGTAAATTTTCACGATGAAAAAATCACAGATAATACACAAGATATGGTCGCCCGTAACTCAGACATTTTTATGTATATCTCATACCCGGAATAAAACTCAAAACTGATCTGCCTTACATCGGCCGTAGCCTGGCTTCTATATGTCAACGTGTGCAACTTCCCTAATCTACCAACTTGGACTTCAAGACTCTCACGTCTCCAAGTAATGAGTAAAAAAAACAAAGTCTAACAAGAAAATAAACTCACGTACAATGCTAGCCAGCTAGCCGGCTGACACAAACCAAAAATAAGAATCCTAACCAATTTGCATTAGGATTTTCTACCTATCACAACAACTTGACGTGGAGGTGTACGAAAATTAGGCTCCACGGAAGCTAGCACCGGTTCCATCTTAGTCTCCTGTATTCTCTTGCAATGTGGCTAAACAAAGTTTCTTACCATCTTCTCTGTACCCGACTTTCCTTTGCTCCTTTCTGTTATCAAACATGCTCGTACAGTTTTAGACTCCATGTGTCCACGACCATACACTGACCTTCCAAATATACCTCCTGAATTCAATAAGCATGTCGTACAACTGGTCTTTGATCGGCCCATTAAAGAACTGATTCTTGGTCCGCATAATTGACGCACGTGACCATCATTTCCTCGATAAAATCGAACCGCATGCATGGCATTATTTTTCACAACCTTTTCATGATCTAACTCCTTAACTGGCTCAGCTTTAGTAGCATCAACAATCGACGATGTCACGCCCGTATCATCCTTCCTCCCTTCAAACGAAACCGTCCTCGGTTTCGAGTCTATTTTCGGTGCCATCAATTCGT